ATTAGATAGTTACGTCTAGTTACGTAACCTTTGTAACATTTTTCCGCTGACGGACCTGCACCGCAGTATCAATTCAAAGAATTAAATTCGGCAGAAATTCGACGTATGAATCAGCTGTCGCATTTCTGCCGCACTTAATTGAATTGAATTCGACACGGCAGAAGTGCGACGTATGAACCGGGCCTTACGAACATTAAACGGTCGCATTTTACGAACATTTTAGTCGCATTTAACGAAAATTTAACGTATTTTTACGAACATTTAAATGTCGCATTTTACGAACATTTAACGGTCGCATTTTACGAACTTTTAAACATTGCAATTTACAAATATTTAACGGGCGTATTTTTACGAACATTTCACAGATGCATTTTACGAACATTTAACGGTCGCATTTTATGGACATTTAGTAACATTTTACGAACATTTAGTCGCATTTTACGAATATTTAACGTATTTTTACGAACATTTAACGTATTTTTATGAACATTTAAGAGTCGCACTTTACGAACATTTAACGGTCGCATTTTACGAACATTTAGTCGTAAGGGTGTGAATGGGGTTAACCGACTAGCGATAAAGGGCGTAAAAAATTACTGACTACCGACGAAACGGGGAAAAAATTACCGACTAGCGACAAATAAATTCTAACCGACAACCGACATGGTCAGACGTGATAGGGATGTTTGTATTCAGCTCAGAAAATCCTTCTTCACCCGACGTAACCACATTAATTCCAAATTTAGCCGAATTATAGAATTTCTTGTCTTCAAATTACTTTAAATCGGGATCCTTCTTTTCGGTGAGCAGCGTGGGCTCATTTCTAGAACAGCGGCTCGTAATCGGGCTGACAAGACGCCCTGCTGTCTCATTTCAAGAACAGCGGATCACAATCGAGCCGACGAGACGCCCTGCTGTTGTCTTTTTATTGCTCGTTGTTTGTTTATGCGGTCGGGTCATGACTGGGATTGCTAAAGTCATCGTGAGTTTTTTTCGAAAAGGTGAAGAAGTCGCCATCGAACGTCATCGAAGCAGGGTCCCAGTAGACAAACAAGCTCATAGAGGAGTATCTGAACTAAAAAAACATCTTACGGAGTTTTTAGGACTAAAGGAGCAGGCACATCAATATGGAATTGGCGGATTTTCGTTCAAGTTATTTCGCCTGGCGAAATCGCCTGCGGGCAAATGCAAAAATTTTGCAATTGTGACGGATGGGCAATGGCAGCTTGAACTTCCAAATTTAATATCGGATGAAAGTAGCAGTGAGCTCAACGGTAAGTGTGGAACGCGTGCAGCGGAGTTTGATGAATCACTTTAGTTCTGTAGTTAAATATTAAGCTCAAATATTAACGTGGTTAAACTCTGGTTCCACCGTTTTTAACTCGTGAATTGCGCGCATGCGCAAGAGCGAGTTATAGATACGATGTGGGGAATGGCATTCGCTCGCTCGCTCGCTCGCTCGATTGGTCGATTCCTGTAAACTTTTTTTTAGATTTTAGGCTTTTGAGTGCATTTTATAGTTTTTGGCGAGCAATAAACAGACGAAATGGCGACCTTTGTTGCTAAGAATAGTGGTGGGGTGAAAAAGAAGCCAATGATAATCTTAAAAGAGTTTTTTTTTTCGTTTTAGTTTCAACAAGCGGCGCCAGCGACTGGCAGGCATGCAAGGATTCACACTGAAATAACAGAACAACCTTCGTTTTTCATAAAATTGTAATTTACAATCCTTGAACTTGAAAACAATCCGAAGATTCATTGAAAATATCACTTACTGCGAAGCGCTCGGAGTTTACAGATGTTCAAAAGCTTTTTCTGTTATAGCGTGAGATTGAGGACAAAATTGATCATTACGTTTCGTCGCGTGTGTTTTTCCTGTGTGAAGCAACAAAAGATGCCGGCGACTGACGAAATAACAAGTTAACACGAAAATCAGATAACACCTAAACAAACAATTTTAGCTACCGATTTTCAGTGAATTTTTAAAGAACAATTTTCTTTTAAGTTTCAAGACAATTTGAAGATTCAACATACATTCAACGTACTAAAATGCGAAAGTTACACACCACAAAATTGATAAATAGGCCTGAAATGAAATTCTATCTTGTTATTGATCATACGTTGCCTAGCACGTGACCTAAATCTACCCAGGCGGAGATCCAAAATGACGGTGGCAGGCTTGGCTTAGTTATATCACTCAAAACTCGTTCCCGTTTGTCTCATTTGATAAAGAGGGAATCGTTAATGTTTTCATTAAGACAGTATTGCCTTGATTTTCTAATATTTACAACGAAAGACAGTAAATTTCACTTTTCACCCACATTTACTTCCAACCTTTTCTTTTGAACCAGAAACAAAAATGATAGACGTTTAAAACACATGACATCATCCACCTTGTCAAATGTAATAGCATGATCATTTCAATTGTAATGCCTTCTTATCCCAACGTTACTTTGTTTCTTTGCTACATTAGCGAACACTGAACTACTGCTCGTACTCTAGATATGACAATCAACCACAAAATTCCCTAAACCAGATAACATTAAACATAATCTAAAAAATCATGTGTCAATTCACGAGTTTGCTCACAGAGCACTTTGATTTGTTTGTTGTTTTGTGGAGCGGAATGTTTTTTTTTTCTTTTTCACCGTCCATTTGAATGCGAAAATTGAGAAGAAAAATCTCTACAAAGAAGTAGCGAGTAGTAGCGAGTAAATCAGTTTATAAGCTTCTTTCTGATTAATTGGTGAATGAACAACAGTGTAGCTTAACATATTAAAGACCCCGTTTATTTATACACGCCGTTAAATTTATTCGTTTCTGAAAACCAGACGTTCAAATAATATTCAATTCTCTCCTCGAGGGAAGCTACGCACGAGAGATTTCGCTCGATGTGCACGTTTTATACATCTTGACGAGCATTTGCTGATAAGAACTGTGTAAGTTTCTCAAAAGCCTACTAAAGAGAAAACTTAAAACACTTTATATAAAATATTTAATATTTTAGTACACATTATCCAAGAGGTTACAAACTGGACCGGAAAGCCAGTAGTGTTGCTGAAGGCGCCGGCTACATCTAATAAAAGCAAGCAGAAGTCAATGAACGACACTGAAAAGAAAGGTGACTAGTCAAAAGTGAGAAGGAAACGGAAATCACGAGAAGAAGCAAAAGAAGATGAAAATCTGGCAAAGAGGATCATGACTGAAGGAGGTGACATCGAGAGAAACGAAAGGCAACAAGGAGACCTTCAAAAGTTTCAGGATGGTAGGGCTGAATTAGCACTTGTAGTTCGTTTACCTGATTTTCAAAAGTCATTAATGGCCGTTTTTATACTAGAGACGCATTATCCGTCTGGACGAACTTGGGCAAACATTTGTAGTTCGTCCGGTTATGCGTCTCTCGTGTAAAGACGGGCACAAGACGCATTATACGTCTAGACGAACTTTCATTTGAAATGCGTCTTGAACGACGCACTTCGAAAGGTAGTTCGTGTGAACGCATAATGCGTCTTTGTGTGTAAAGACGGGCAACGGACGAATAACGTTAAGAAATGAGACCGTGTCGGAAAAAAGCCAGCGGTTATCCGCCCAAGAAAACAACATGGCGGAGTCAAGTGCAAAAGAGCGAAGTCGACCATGGACAGAAACAGAGCTCAAGTACTTCGCCCTTGTTCTGGCAGACGAAACAAACGAGTTTGCTTACAAACTGGACACGCTTGCGTTGAAGAAGACTGCAAACAAACCTGTCTTCGAGGATATAAAGAAAGCCTTTGAGGAGCGCATATCCTCCGAAGAATTTAAAGAAGAAAATGACAGAGAACATCGTCAGTCTAAATCGAAAAAGGCTTTAACTCATCTGAGAATTGATGTTGAAAAGCTTCGAGTGAAATTTAAGTGGATAAAAGATCAATGGCATAAATACACGGATCGCATCAAGAAAGGTAGTGGTAAGTCACCAATTGAAGAGCCTGAGTGGTACAAAATCATAAATCCAATTTTTTCGGACACCCACGGTAACCTGGAAATTGCTTCCAAAGCAAGAGATGTTTTGTCTCATGAGAATTCAGACACAGACAGTGACGAAGAGCAGACAGAAATAAGTCATAGCAGTTATCAGGAAGATGATGGTGAGGAAGAGTTAACCTCCGCAAGTGAGAGTGGAACCGAAGGTGTTAAAAGGAAAGTTTTAAAAAATTCATTGGACGTAAAACCGTTAGGTCGTAACAAACGAGTAAGAAGTCAGTCCCAGGCCATAAATGAGATCGCAAAGAGTTTTCACGCACTTGGAGAATCACAGCAAAAGCGTTGTGAAAAGATGATGGAAGCAGACAAAGAAAGGCATGCTGAATTTCTTGCTTTTCAGAAAGAGCAAGCCGAATTGAGTAGGCAGCATGAGCTAAAGATGCTTCAAATCATCATGAAATATTCAAATCCTCCACCCCAAGGAGCACAGCAGCATCTCCAACAACAAACAATGCCTGTGCAGCCTCTTGTACCTTATTACAATCCAATGCCATATAGCCATACCCCTCCGACCAATCAAGTGGCAAGTGGTAGCCAAGATAGCCACATTTTAGACATGGATAGCCAGAATGATCAAAGATCCATGCGTTGGTATTAGCAAGAGTTCCATTAAGGGTGGGGGACTCATGTTTATGGAGGAGTTGGTGGTGGACTTTTCTTTTCTATAGACAGGGTCCTCTATCACACTTATCTTTATTGAGCAATACTGTGAATTTAAGGGGGCATGAGCTTCCCTCTTGCGTTTTGAAACCTCAGACATGTTATTACAGGCAGTTGTGTTTACTTGTAATCCATTTATTGTCAGTTGTGATAAAGGTACCAAAATGTAACCAGTGATCCAGACACTAACATCATTACTGTTCTGTAATTGAAACAAACCATTGTTACAAAGTTTAACGGAACTACAACTTTATAACACTTCTATAGAATTGGATGTATTGGTTAGGGACTGGTCATTATTTATGTAAAGGGTGGGGGAG